ATTGTACTCCGCTCCTTGTTCTTTTAAACGCGAATACGTTCCAGGGAGAAAATTGTATTTCGGAGAGTTAAGGAAACCTTGGTAGGTAGGTTTCATGGATAGGTTTCGCCCGATTTACCCATAGCCGGCTTTGCCTCCTTCGATTCTGGGTCATGTAAGCAAAATGCTTTATTCATCAGGCCGATTACACGTCGGGATATTCTTGAGACAGCCCACTGGTGTCAACACGTTCGGACTCAAGTATATTCCGGAAAATTGCAAAGCCTTCAAAATCGGCTGAAAGGAAAACCTGTCTGTTCGAAGCTGCCCTTCTTCGGTGAACCTCACTGGTAGTGATAATCATTCACCAAGGACCATGTGGTTGAACACAACGATATAAAAAAGTCTGTCGATTTTCAATTTTCAAAAAAATTAAATTGGCGACAAACAAAAATACCCCGTTAACTTTTTGGTTGTTTGGAAATTTTTCTTCGGACCTGAGTTGACATGGACCGAGAATGGTACCGACGTCCCGGTACGTTCTAAGTTGGACCCCTTACCTGAGATGGTTTGAGATCGATGTCCTTGCCGGGTAGCCCCTCCACATACTAACCCAGGGAGCAAGGCAGTGAGGGCATGTACCGTGAAGCGCAAGCGCCGCCCCCCGGAGGGGGTGCTAAATATTTATCCATTACACCCCCAACCCCTAACTTTGAGCTCGTTAATTCCTTGTTTGAACTAAGTACTAGCGCAAACATCAAATAACGGCAGATTACATTAATTGTTCGGAATGCAAATATGGGATGTAGAGAAGAAAAAATATTAAACTTCCGCGACCTTAACTCACGGCACCGGTAGTAAAAGGACGAAGTAAGAGCGAAGACTAAGAATGTCAAAAAAGCTATTCAACATTTAAATTCGCTTTTATGGTATCACTGCGGTTCTAAAGGAAGGAAAAGTTCATCATAGAAAACACACTTTACAACTGTGAAGTGTGATCGTTGACCAACAAGAATATAGAAGAAATTTGGATCCAGGATTATTGGAGGACTACCCGACGCTTAAGAAACAAGACAAAAATGGAAGAAGTATTAAATTGCAGAACTTTTGGTACGGCCACGAAAAAAAGGTCACTCACCACAGAAAATAAACTGGGAAAGATTGTGAAACCACAATGAAGAAATTGAAGAACATCGGTGTATGATTCGAGAGAAGTTAACTTCGCATTTGTTAGCATAAGTCACTTGGTCGACATAATGACAGGCGTCTATATCGACAGGTTCCTTTAAACCTTTGATCCTTCAATTCTAGTAAAAGTGCAGTGTTAATAAACAACACTACATAGACAGATACTAATAGCAGATTAATTAAGTACAGATCCAAATTCGCAAATTGTGAATGTGACCTGACATTACACATAATCAATTATACTTTTGGCCATGCGTATATCTAAAATTGAAATCATTGAAAAGTTCTCATTGGTTTATCAATCGTTTTTAATTCGCCTGAAATCAACATTCGCCATGTATAATTACCTAAATGGACTAAAACAAGCATCTTACCTTAATTTCCAAAACACCTTGCTTAAGAATATAATGGTAAGGCAGTTTAGAGAGGAAAAGTTATGGACCAAAAGTTACGAATAGTTAACGAATGTGTTTCACATTATCATAGAGTTATATAAATGAGAGTGTACAAATTTTATGGTTAAATTACCCTTTTTCCTCCTTGGTTTCCTTATTTGGTTTTATTATATTGATATTTTTTGGCTAGCTACTTATTGGCTCTTTTGTCATAATCATTGCCATTCTTTATTTATTGCATCAGTTTTTCAATGATAATTTTAGAGTGGTCAAAATGTAGAACTTGTGATCAATTAGTGTTGGGTTTTTCTAGTCATTTTGGGCTTCGTGGGATCTTCTATAATTATGCAACTATTGCTAATTTTATAGTCAACATAGTTTTTTTAGTCGTAATAATATTTGCTTTTAAGTTTTATTTGCTGTAGAAATACTTAGAATAATTGAATTATTATGAAGTCTGTATGACAAAAAGAGCTCTCTTTATGACAACAAATATAATTCGTATATTCATTAAATTTTATTTAAATTGGGTACTCATAAACTGAGAACTATCACTACAATCGACCTTCATGCTGGTGTAGTGTTATTTCCTTTTCGATTTCTTTATTTAGACGATGTTATTATGCTAATGCTTTATGTGTTGTTTATAAAATGATATATCAACACGCTCAATACTTACGGGGCTACATTTTGGCTGTTTATTTCCAATCGTTTTTGGCATCACTGGGATACATCGAATCATGGAATTAAATTTACCTTTTTCTTCTTACTTTTCATATTTTGACAGATTAATTGTCTTAATATTGTATGACACTTTAGATACAATTTAATGAACATAATAACTACTTATTAAATCTATGTTTTAACCTTTTGGCACTAATATTTTATGTTTTTCCTTGATGTAAACTGACTGAAAATAGTGGTTTTTGGTGTTTTTCCATTGGTTTTTTTTCTTTTTTCTTCATGATTTCATGTTTATTATATTAATGCTTTAGAGCCTTTTATAGAAGTATAATACCTAGTTGGGACCATGCTATGTACGGGAACATGCAGAAAATGTTGGTGATTTTAGTCCTTTTGGTTTTAAAGAGCTCTTTATAGTTGAATTTGTAGTATTAAATTTCCATTTTGTTTATACATTGCACAATTAAACAATTTTCTTATATGTACTAATATTTTATGACTTATTTATAGAAGGTATCATTTGCCATTATATGATTTATTACACTTAGCTTTTTTACCCCTTGATGATTTTTACTTAGATAGAAAACGTAGAAACAGCACGTCATTTTTCTTCGTTTTTGGCCCTACATGGTTTTTCATCTTTGCAATCGTTGAATTCAATTTTCCTTTCTCCATTTTGCTTTCCATATTTGGACAATTTTATTACATTAGTATTTTGTGGCTTTCGTGACTTGCAAAAGATTTCTTTCATTCCGGTTCGTTGGTGAATTTTCCTTCCCTTCTTAGTTTTTATATTTCAACAGTTTAATGATAATAATATTTTATGCACGTTCATAACTGGTTTATCAACCCTCTCGCAACTTTTTCGTTTTTTTCTCAAAGGTTTCTTGATTTTCTTTTTTCATCTTATATTAATATTTTTGACTTGGTCATAGAAGGCATGATCAATTTATGAAGATTACGTTTAGGCACTTGAGTTATAATCATTTCTATTTTTATATTTTCACTCATTCTTTCTTCCTTGATTCTAGATATAGAAACCAAAAACTTGCCGGAAAAGGCTTTTTTCAATGTTTTATCCGATCGTTTTTGGCCTCCACTTTCAATAGTTGAACTCGTTGAATTGAAAAGACATTTTTTTCTCTTTTCGGTTCCATGTTTGAAGTATTTTATTATATACTATTTTATGTTTACATATTTGTGGTTATTTCAAATTTTCCTTCTTGGATTCCATATTTGAATAGTTTTGTTATTTTTAATGTTTTATGGTATATTTTCCTGGCGTTTTTTGGGCTCACATTGTGCATTGGTTACATTATTCTTTATAATTGAAGTCGTAATATATTTTTCTTTCAAGCCCCCTTGGATAATAATTTGGATAGTTTTTCTGATTGTATAAGGCTTCCACTGCTGAATCGTCAATAGTTGAAACGAATTTTTTAATATTGGCTAGTTTTCTCCATCATATTTTAACAAAATCCCAAGTTTATCTAAATGAAAAAGTATATTATACAATGTAGTTCGTTAAGTCCTGAACTTTGTACATTGAACAATTTACATGGTTCCATATTCGGATAGTTTTATTGTATTTTATGTGTGCTTTTTAAAGACCGGTTGTTTTTATATTTCATAACTTCTTTATAATTATTTTTGTCAACCCTATCGATAATTTTTCGTTTTTTGTCTCAAATCTTCATGGTTGAATTTGTAGAATTAAATTTGCCTAATTTCCATCTTGTTTTTATTAATATCTTTCTGGGTTATAGAAGACATCATTTATGAAGACGAGGTTTAGTACTTGAGCATCATTTATACATTATATATTTATTAAACTCATTCTTTCTTCCGTCATCCATTTTCATTAAATTATTTACTTTTTTTACTTTTTGGCTTTAACATTTTGAGAGTCTCATTATACTAATATTTTATGGCCTGTTTATAAAAAGTCAACATTTGCATTATTTATGAAGGCAAGGTTTAGACGCTTGTATCTTAAGGATTGTAAGTTTTGTATTTGTTACACTAAGTTTGTGATCCTTGATAATTCTAGTTAGATAAAAAACTAAAAATCGCAGGAAACAGATTTTTTAAAATGTTTTATACGACCGTTTGGGGCCTCTCCCGGATTTTCAATCGTTGGTTGTAAAATTAAATTTCTGTCTTTTCCTTCTCCACATTTGGACAGTATTATTATATTAACTTTTTATGACTTTGTTTAGATGTATTGATATTATATATTATATATATATGTATATTACATATATATTTATATATATGTATTTATGTATATGTTATTTAAAAAATAAATAAATAAAGCTGCAGTATATGTAGATTTTTGGTGGTTTTTTTGTCTAGTCGTTTTTGGTCTCATTGGGATCCTCAATCAAGAAGACGTAGAATTAATTCACTTCTTAATTAAATCATTTAAGTTTTTTTTAAATTTGCCTAATAGTCTAACGACACAAAGTGGGCGGAACAAATATTAATTTCAGTAGTGCGAGTAGTGTAACTTTTAAACAATACAAAAATGTTTGTATAATATGTAAATGTTATACTAAGAAACAATCAAATATTTTTACAAAGTAACACTGTGAAATGCTTTAATTATTAGTTTTATTATATTATTTTTATTGTTATTATAATTTTAATACACTTTGTTAGATTGTGTCAGATCAAATTGCATAAAATAATACTATCGGCCTATATCAAGAAGGTTTTTTATATCAAATTATCTTTAATCAAATAAAATCTTACCTCAAAATTTTGCCAATTATTTATCTGTTTTTCCTCCCCAAGTAAATCCACACTTTTCCTGCACAGGGTAGAAGTCGAGAAAAAAATCACTCAACGCGCACCAAACCGAACGTCAAATTTTCGAGAGAGATAAAAAGCACATGAGCACGTGTTTTGGAGGGAGCAAGTTGACCAGTAGGTGACACTCATGCGACTGGCAAGTGAACGGAGAGCATGACGCACACATGCTGTTCTGTTCTCTCCCCTACCTGAACCCGTCATTCAAACCATCAAGTCGGTCAGGTGCACCGTGCACCCCACTGATAAGCGTGCATTATCGATAAAAAATTTGTACCGCAATCTACGAATGGGGGTGGAAATTTTTGAAATTTAAATGAGGATCTGCCAGGATATGAGAGGATTAGTCTCGCTTCTCTTATCGTACTATATCTATAATTATATTGATGTTTACTGTTATTTATTTATTTTTAAAGCAGAAAGATCGATAGATAAACCTGTTAAAAAAATTTATTTTCACAAAATGCTGAACACAATATAAATAAATTTAAATGAGGATCTGTCATGACGTGAGAGGATTAGTCTCGCTTCTCTCTTCGTACTATATCTCAAATTAAGTTGACATCTACTGTTATTTAT